TTGGACATTTCAACAGGACTCAGCACGCACCACACAAAAATGGTTACAAAATGAGGTTCCTCGCTTCATTTCCGGCGTACTATGGCCACCAAAATGTCCGGATACCAATCCGTTGAACTATTGAGTCTGGTGTATTTTAGAAAGCAAGTTTGGCATTAAAAAATACCAAAGTGTTGATCACCTCAAGCAAGCGCTTTGCCGGGAATGGGCCAAAATACCGCAGAGCAACATTCCAGCAGCATGTGACGGTTTCATTGGCCGTTTAAAGGACATATTCGTGCCAAAGGTGACCAATTCGAACAAATCTACACTTATTCTATAATTTGATGCTATTTCCGACATATTTTGCTTTCATTCAATAAAATTAAAAAAAAATACATGGCGTTTTAAAATGCATTTTTTTATCTCACCCTGTAAATCGACACAGAAAGTTACTCTATGCAGACCACAAAGACATTACACTTTCTAACACAGTGTGGGGCATAAATATTGGGGTTTCTGCATCCTATTAAAATTGGAAACCATCGTTTATGATATATATACCTGCCATACCAGAGTTAAATTGAAGAAGAAGGGCGTCTGCAAAATTTGGTAAACTCTATTTAAATATGTCTATAACTACTATATGTGCTCTTCATCCGATATATAATCCATGTCAGTGCCATAAATTGCACTCTATAACAATAATATACGGTACAAAGTAACACAACCTCGAAAATCATCTGCCAATTTTATTCTCTCAATTAAGATATAACTTCCAACAGCCTAGATTTTATTTTAATTATCGAACTGTGTATTTTTAAAATTTAGATGAATTTTAAGTTTAGAAATCAATTTTTTATGAAATTTGGAGAAAATCGGTTCAGATTAAAATATAGTTCATATTCCTATATTTGAAATTGAAATCGTACTTTAATACAAATTCAGTGTGAAATGTTTTCCCTTGAAAATTGGGTTATTATAAGTGCTGTGGAGTTTTTTTTTTTTTTTTAATTCCGAGGCGTACTTATTGTTCTGTATTTTTTTTCAAAATTGCCTCTCATGTCGTATGACCATCTATGTTTGTGATTTTTACCCTTGGCCATTACATACAAACACACTGATACCGTATGCGTAACTTTTTGGTTTCCGTTTTTCACTGGCAAGCAATTTCATAAAGTTATCAAAATCTTAACAAACAATTAGTAATCAAGTGATTAATAGAAATTACATATGTATGTGTGTGTACATATGTATTTGGAACAGTCATAATGTCAATATTCATAAAAATAGTGGATCCTCTAACCGCATTGTTGTTGTCTATATGTATGTGTCCATATCGAACATACAAATATTATTCACCACCAACTAGTCAATTGCTACCACATATCGCTCGCTGAGTACTCTATTTGTTCAATGAGTAATCGAACAAGCATCCGCAACCATCATTCAATCGTCAATTTATTTCTTTCTGTCTGTCACCCAATATTCGTTCACCTCGCTCAATATCAACATCCTCACCACCCATCCCGCAAATTCAGAAGCATGTTCGTGTGTCCATCCATCCATCCACCTTTTGTGGTCGGAAAATTTATTTAGAAAATGTTTTAGTGTATTTTTTGTACATTAGAATGTATTTGCCATATAACGTCATTTCGATATTTGCAGGCGTTTAAATACAAAGTTCATTATTTTGTCAATAGAACTGCAAAAAAAAAAAAAAAATAGAAAGAACTCGGAAATTTTTTCGAAAGAGCGTGCCAAAACATTGTTTATTACAGGTGAATTTTACGCGTTAGTGTGTATGCATGTCTTGGCACACGATCACAAAAGCGAGAAAGAGAAACAGCCACTCTGTTACATGTTAACAGCGAAAGAGCGGAAGCCATGTAAAGTGCAAATTCTCAGAGCAGTCGTATTACTCATTCGCTAACTGGTCTGAACAGTGGATTTTGTATTTTTGTGAATGCATAAATTACTACGTTTTTCACTAAATGATTAAAAAATACATTTAAGAGAAAAACTTTTCTAACTCCCTTTCAAAGGATCAGCAATTAGAATTTGAACTGTAAATATAAGCTACAACTGCATTCTTATCATTATTTTCCCAATGTTTATTTATAAAGATTCTATTAAATTTGTTATTATAACATGGCTTTATTTAAGAAGACATTTGGAATGTGTACTATATGTATACCATATTGATTATTTTTCAGATAAAGGCCACACACATGATTTTCGTTATTTTTATGATTCAGAGGCAGTTTCCAAATAAATCAGTTGTAATTTGATACTTGCGGTTTTGGGTAAGTACATTTTCCTCCGTATAAAATTTTCAAAGCAAGTTCAAAACGAAATAATTAATATTGGTGCAGTAATACACCTTCAAGCACGTTTATAGTCGTTTTGATTATAATTTTAGTTGCCTCATAGCGGAGGGTATAAAAAGTTCTGCCTGGATGAACCTAATGCATTTGTTACATCTAAAATTCTTGGTAAAATACCGAAATCCATCTTGTGGATCCTAATTCCTTTCTAAATAAGCAAAAAATTCTAATATTATTAAAATTAAATATTTCGCCGTAATTCTTTTATTTGACAAGCTGACACTAAAATCTATTTCAAAAACCTATGACACCGGAAAAAATAGAAAAAATAAAGTTGAACGTACCATGCTCATTCATCCCACCATTTAACAGGAATTTGAAAAACTTAAAAAAACTCGTCGAAAAATTCAATTGATACGAGATTTAAAATAATTCCGCTGAACAATGTCCCTAATATGATCAAAATAACGTGGATGTGCATAGGTAATTTTTTGTCATATGTTGTAGTACCCATAAGGCCTTCAAATACGAAATTTGAAACAAATTTTGAAGCTCTACGATAAATAATGTGGGCTGTATCGTGATTTCCATAGCCAGACGGACATCGTTAAATCGACTTATAATTTTATGCTGATCATGAACATATACAGGGTGAGATGAAAAAACTGCCACCAACTTCAGACTGCTGTCATTTCTAAGTCACTCGTACGACATCTGTTAAAATTATTCCAGTGACAGCTCATTATATTGTTTACAAGCGTAAAAAAGCATTGCGGTGAGAATTTTGTGATGGAATTCAAGCGTGATAGTGTATTTATATTTGGCTGGAAAGTCACAAGTGGCTATCGTTAGAGGACTCCGGCATTTAAATGTGAATAAATCTTTTGTGTCTCGTACCATCTCTCGTTACCGTGATACTGGTAGCGTAGCCCGACGTCAAGGAAGTGGACGGATGAAAACAGCAACAGGAAGAAAATAGACTCAACAGAGCTAAAGAGTTGCTTTGCTGGGCCGAAAGTGGTGAACTGCCGAATTTGGTTTTCTCCGATGAGAAAACATTCGTTGTCCAGCAGTTTGTGAACAAACAAAATGATCGTGTTTACTTGCCAAAGAGGTCAGCTGAAAATGTGCACCTTCGGTTGGCCACCAGAACTCATGCGCCGACCACGGTGATGGTGTGGGCCGCCATAACAGCCGATGGTCGCTCTCCGCTTGTATTAATCGACCGTAGCATCAGAATAAATACCGAATATTATCACGAAAATATTCTGGAGGGTGTATTAAAGCCTTGGGCACGCAAGCATTTTGGCCGCAGACCTTGGACATTCCAGCACCATCGCACTCAGCACGCGCCACCCTTCCACTAAAAGATTTGCCTAAAATCACGAGAATATCGAATATCGCAAGGTACCTTTATATGGAGGCAAAAAAAAAAAAAAAAAAAACGTGGACCAATATTCTTCCACGAGAAGGAGAGCCTATTAAGATATCTATGAACCGAATTTGAAACCTTTCCGTTTAAAAATGTGGATTGAATCTCAAAAAAAAAATCGAAGTTCAAATAATAACTTTGAAACGATTCCTGTGAATATTGTCGCTAATGTCATCAAAATACCGTATAAAGGGGGGTACCGTTATATGGGGCTATACGAAGACGTGGACCTGCAACATAGGTTGAAGTACCTAATTTGAATCAATTCCAGTGAATGATACCACTAAAATCTTTAAAATACCAAATATCGAGTTTATCGTTATATTCGAAAGAAAGTGTTATTCCAACAGAAGGACATCCCTAAACCAACGTTGATCGAAAAATATATACTTTGTAGGGTCTAACGTGAGTATTTCGAGGAGTAACAAACAGTATCACAAAATTAATATACCCTCCATTGAATATAAACGGCTATCTTAAAATGTGATAGATGAACCGAGTTTTTTCTGGTACTTCCATGACATACGAAAAATTATTTAATACCTATAAACTGAACAGAGTCCACTATTAAATTCTAATTTTAGACATTGCAATAGAAGCAAAATAAGGTTGATTAGAGAATCATTTTTCTAAGGAAATTAAATTGAGCTTTTATACCAATGTGCTGTTACTGTTACATACTTCAGAAGCGCATTGCAAACAAATGTAATTAAACCAACCTCCAGCCGGCATTGGCAAGTCTGTATGAGTGGAGAGAGAGGGAGAATGGATCGAGGTTCTATCGAAAGTAATTGTTTTTTTTTTTTTTTTTTTTGGGAAAACTGCTATCAACATTACAATGATTTTTGTTTTAATTATTTGGTTGAAAATTCAATCAAATTCTTTTGTGTTTTCGATTTTTCTTCTGTTTGTGTGAGCTGTTGTATTCATTTCATATCTCGTTCTCTTTGGTTGCCAGAGAAACAAAGCACAGAGATTTTTGCAGCTGTTTGTCTCTTTCGTTGTTGCTGCCCCATGACGCTCTTGTTGTGTTTACGCTTTTGCAGATACCAACAGCAAAGCCCCACCACCCCACGACCGTGTGTCGTTGGAGCATCGTTTGTGGGTTTCTTAACTGTTTCGATGGGCAGCAATATTGTTTGGTGTATGTATGGTGTGTGTGTGTGTGTATGTGTGAGTGTGTTGCTGTTGCTTGTTGGCGTTTTCATTTCAAAGCAGAAGAACAAGCAAAACAGCAGCAAGTTTTGTTGTGGTGCGAATTTATTTGAACATTCAGTTGACATCGAGTCGCGATCGCGAAATATCATTCTTTCTGAAGCGTTTCGCTAACGCAAATCAAAGGATTTGCAGTGTGTTGTTGTTTTATTCAAAAAAAGGACGATACCAAAATAAAAAGAATAAACATTTTCAAAGTGAAATATTGTGAAATAATAACAACGTTCATTGTGTGGCCGAAATAAAATGTAATTTTAATTTTTATAAAAAGATAATAACAATTTTTGAATTTCCCGCGCTTTTTCAATTTTTTTTGGAAATTAGTAGAACGATTTGTGAAATGAAAAAGGGATTAAAGGACCAAAAAATATTTTTTAGTTTACTTATTATTAATATTTTAATTTTTCTGATTTCTCAAAATTTTCTGAGTGCTCAAATTATAAAAAAATGGCAGGATATTTGGTGTTGCTCAAGAATTATATTTTCTTAATTATTAACAAAGATAATGCAATTCAGCAAACCTTTCTCATGGAAATGCTTTGCTTGTGGCAAGAATTGTTGTTTACAAATGTTTTTATTTTCTTCGTTTTTTTTTTTTTTGTCGATAATCAAACGTCGAAAAAGTTTTATAATGGCTTGTATATTTTTTTGTTTGCCTTGTTTCCGATATCCGATCTGGTATCAGTAGACAGGTTGCTGGCGATAACACTTGTAATTACAATTTTGGGTGTACCGTTACGTTCCTTGAACTTGTTGGCCACAGCGGATGAACTCAAATTACCTTCTTCTGATTTATTGCGAAAGCGTAGCAAAAAGCGATTACCGCCAATAAATTAATTTGTAAAACGTCATCAGAACGACAGCAACGAAAAATCCAACAACTATTCCTGGAGAACATTGCCTCCTTCAGTTTTAGGAATTGTACTTTGGAATAATGGCTGGGTGTCATAAATGTTTTATGTTTTGTCAGCAGTATTTGTTGCGATTTCTTTTTAAATTTTGAAAACAAAAAACTGTTTGGTTTGTATTAAAAAGGTGTTCGCTGTCTGTTTGGGGCTGCATGCCAAAATGTAATTAAAAACTCGAGGAATAATCATAAAGTGAAATGAAATTCGAGTGGGCGCTTTCGGTATCAGCAACACCACCATCGCCTCTACTCATTTAAAATCCACAAAGCCCGCTCAAAATTCAACCATAAAACGTCTGTGGTTGTAATAAAACGACAAAATTCGAAACCAAACCAGACAAGCTAATTTCCACCGAACCCTCTACCGCAAACTAGAGCTATTGTCTCGTGGCGTAGTCTTGCGATTATGATGCAAATATTGGCTAAAAACAAATGTAAAACGCCAAACACCCAATTTGCTGGTCATAGGGTGGTAGTACACCGGAGCGATGATCTTCCCCCAAACCCAAGTCATCCACTGATCTACAGGTCGTCATAAAAACATAAACAACCAAAAGAAAAAATAAACAGCTAACAGATAACTAACTGTTGTGGTTAACCTGGGGTCTTATATAAATCTAGGTAGTAATGGCTTTATTTCGTAGACGAGATCACCCTTGTTTGCCATTACAAATATTGCTACCCGGAAAACGGTTTTGCATTCGACAACAACCAACGGATGTTGTGGTGGTCCTCGAGCTTTCTTTTTTGGCCATAAATAAAAACTTATAAACTGAAATTATCGTACATACAATCATATGTAGATTTTAATATAGGAACTGATATGACGAGAGGCCATACACTAAGAGTTCTGAAAAAAATATTTCAAAGTTTATCTGGTGCGAAATTCAGTCAAAATAATCTCCAAATTGCCATAAAGTAAAAAAATGAAGTGCGTAAGGCAAATAATATGGCAGGAAACTATTAATTTATGAATATATGAAAGTATATCTTCCCCTTTATAGGATAGCTACCAGAACCAGAGTGGACCGATATTGCCCACTGTTATGCCGAAATTGCGTGTAAATTAAACCAAAATTAGATATGAAATATATAACAACATGACTTAAGAGAAAAGTTCTTGCTTGATAGAGGGAAATAAATAGCTAGAGGGAAAATAGAGGGAAATAAGTAGCTATTGCTGGCAGGCGAGACACAAGTGCGAAGAATAATATCATTGAACGGTGGTTTTGGCGCCATTTCGATACCCGCCAGAATCTGCATCTTGACAATTTAATATTGTAACAAAAGGGATTATGCGGAACAAGTATAGCATAGGGTAAAGTTTAAATCACAATAAGTGAGAAAAATTCTAAAGGAAAGTTGAGACATTCCAAATTACGCAGTCGTTTTTACACCACATCATATACCAGATCAAATAGTAGTAACATTTCGTTGCACGAATTTGAAGAAAATCGGGTAATAATTTCACATTCTATGATAGTTGTGATAGAAGTTTAGGATATTGTTACGGGAACCATTTTTATAACCTCCACCATTCTATGGAGGGTATATTAGGTTTATCATTCCTCATTCCTCCTCGAAATATTAATAATAGACCCTACAATGTATATATATTCTGGATCAGGGTAAAAAGCGATGTCCGTCTGTCTGTTGTAATCTTTCGAACGAATTGAGATAGAAAGCTACATACATGCAAAGTTTACCAGTAGACAGCAAGTAAGTTCGAAAATGGGCAATATCGGTCCACGTTTTCGTGTAGCTCCCATATAACGGTACCTCTCGATATTCGGTATTTTCATGATTTTAGCAACATTATTTACCGGAATTATTTCAAATTTCATATTTAAAGTTCGTAATGGGTACTAAAGCCTATGACAAAAATTTTTGTATGCAGGTCCACGTCTTCGTATAGTCCTCCCATGTAACGGTACCTCTCGATATTCGGTATTTTGATGATTTCAGCAACATTATTCATCGGAATCGTTTCAAATTTTGTATTGGAAGATCTCAGTGGCTACTACACCCTATGGCAAAAGAATTCGTATGCAGGTCCATGTCTTCGTACAGCACCCAGATAACGGTACCTCCAAGTATTCGGTATTTTTATGATTTGGAGACATCATTTACCGGAATCGTTTCTAATTTCGTATTGTAAGATCTTAGTGGGTACTGCAACCTATGGCAAAAAATTCATATGCAGGTCCACGTCTTCGTACAGCCCACAGATAACGGTACCTCCGGTCATTTACCGGAATTTTTTTCAAAATTCGACAAAAAATTTCGTATGCAGGTTCAAGTTTTCGTATATCCACCATATAACGTTACCTCCCAATATTCGATATTTTAATGATTTTAGTGACTGGAACTTTTCCAAATCACTGGAACTTTTTCAAATTTCGTATTTGCAGTTCGTAATGGGCACTACAGTCTGGGACAAAAAAGTTCGTAAGCTTGTCCACGTCTAGTCCAAATATAACGGTTTTCATCTAAGTGGTAGTTTTGGGATTTTTTTTTTTTGAAAATTTTCAAGTTTCTTCCACGTGTGAAGTGGAGGGTATTAAGCTGGTATTAGGTGATTTTTTACTTGTTTCATCTACACTACGATAACAGATTTCACCTTTATGATATCGAAAAAAATCTGTAAGCTAGTATATTCTTGCAGGTTCTTGAACAAAGTAATTGATACTTCTTTCGTTTTCTCTGAGAGGCATACGATTTTTTTTTTAAATTCAAATTTGCAGCAAGATTGATAAAATTATTACAATGTAACTAGTTTCAAACAAAGCGGATGCAGCTTTGAGATCCAAACAGTCAGACAGACAGACGGACGGAGAGATTTCGACTAAAGAGATCCAACATCTTAAACCGTTATTTTCATGAGTCACATTTTGGCCGCATGAAATTATATAGGCAGTAAGAATATAAATATATTGCCCTGAGTAATATTCATAGCAAGTTCCATGGTGGGTGCCAGTATGAACTCAAATTTTATAATTTCAAAATAATGCAATATAAAATATAAAATTATACAAAAATAAATCGAAATTACTACATGGTGTTATACAAACAGTTTCAAATAGTTAAATCGCTCGCAAACTTGAAGCATTTTCAGAGCTTGCTTTTCATCAAAGTATTTATATGAGAAAGCTGAAAAAGCCAAGAGATCACTCCTTTCGCCGGTATGAAATCATGATATCGATAGCGATAAGTCAGTTTTTTTTGTCAGTTTTGTTTTGTGAAGAAATTTACTTTCTGTAATTGAGAGTAATATGAAGTTAAGCCAATCATTAGACTGAACCATTTTTAAAATAATATAAAAAATGGGCTCGTATTCTCAAATTTTATTGCTAATAATAATGAGCAAACTTCCTGGAGCCGGTCACGAGACAATGCCCTCATCAGCCAACAATTGGCCATTGTAACGGAGCTTTGTTTGCTTGAAGTTCTAAAATCGTCATGAGATCACCATAAACAGCCATTAATGTAAAAAAACACACAATTCTCGGTGTTGCGTTGTAATTCATACGCACTTTTGTTTGAGTCTATTGCCAAATTGCGTGCGAGTTATAAAAACGACATTTACAGTTTAAAGTTTTAACAATTGTAACAATGTAAATAACAATTGTAGATTCGGAGAAAATTGTGATAATTAAGACTGTCCCCCTTTTGATTTGGTAAATACGCACTTTCAACCTTTTTTTGGTATTTTTTGTTTACAATGTGGTCATGGAAAGATGGAAAAATATAATTTTTGACAATTACATGAAACGATCGCTTCGGTCTCATCTCAATTATTATAAATAATTAAGAAAATCTAAAAATCAATTTTGTAATAAAAAAAATGTCATTAAAAATCCTTAGAATATCTACTCGAAACTTTATGCCCTGAAAATCTATTGCCGAGATGATTACCGCATGTGTCATATTTATTTAAATTATTTCAAATTTGGTCATCACTATTAGTGTCCATTATCCTCCATAAAAATAAAAATCCAAACTATATAATTTGCAATCCCATCTGACGAGATGCTATTCATACTGGATTCGTATAATTATTTAAATAAAAATTTTAAGTCCAGACCAGTGAAATGCGGAAGCTATTTTTCGTGAATATGTCGTTATATTCGAATATCACAACACCCTCTATTTTGGAATACGAACCGGTATGAATTTGTACAGATCACAAAAGAAAACATAAAATTCAATTCCATACTCTGGAAACACCCCTTAATGAACACACTCGCACATACACACACATACAAAATGCTAATTTAAACAACCAATATCATGGTTGGTCCATTGTATTTCGTTGGATTGCTGGAATGATTTACACATAAATTCACAAATAGACCAAATTACAAATTAAAGGTTATTAATTAATTAATATCCATAATTATTGATTCGGCTAACAATTTTATTTTTTTAAATCTGACGTCATTTGTACTACCCCACCAACAGAACATCATCACCGGATTATGAATTGTTTACAATAATTTCGTATGTAATTTGCATAGATTTAGAAAAGCAGAAAATCTCTTTGGCTTAATCTTCTTTAGCTCATTAAAGTCCACATTCAGGTTTAGTGGTTGGAAGCGAAAAAAAAAACTTATTTTTATTTATGCGATTAAAATTCGATCATTTATATGTATGTATGTTCATACCAAAGTGGCGAATTGAATATTGAATAGAAAGATGACAGACGGCCGGAGAGCCGGTACATTTATATGTACATACCAATGTGTGGTGGGAGGGGGCCAAGCATAAAACATCGACAAACTCGTCGTTATGCGTAAAGACCTCATTCACCACCTCAAATAGAAAGGCAGAAAAAAACATAACAACAAAATATTCTTAACAGGGTTCTTTGTTGGAAAAAATCACAACAACAACGACAAACTATATACTTGCCTAAAACGAAAACAATAACAAAATAAAAAATAATATTCATTCAATTTAGTCCATTTGTTTATCTAGAAACAACCAAATAGCTGAATAATACAAATAGTGGTGTTGTTGTTGCTGCTGCTCCTTGGTTATGGCATGCGAATGAGCCATTTGTGATTCAACCTGGCTAAAAATGAAGAACATTACCAAAACCAAAACCAATGTCTATGTGAATGTGGTGGTCGCTGGACGACAACGCTATTTTGCCATTTCACTCTATTCGCAAATTTGTTATTAATTGTTCATAAATCAAATGGGGTTGTGGTTTTCGCATTACCCTGTTCGAGTTCTGACTTTTATTGCCAGTTTCGCCACAATAATGATCGCATATTGTGGTGTTCGATATGATTTTGTCATTTTATAAAATAGGATTACACAATGCTACAAATAATTGGTATTTGGGGGGTAATTGGCGTCAATTGGAATGGATACAGGATACATGAGAGATCAAAAGTAGGAAGTTGTCCCTTACCTTTGCTTTATAACTTGATTTGTTTTTATACCCTACACCACTTTTTGTGCTATTGTTTGTGATATGGAGAGGGACTTATATTTCTAATTGACGGTCTGGATAAAATCACATTCTGATACGATTTATTCGTATCCGCATGTTCATTTATTTTTATAAACAAAGTACAGGTCGCATTTATAACTCCATTAAACTGATGATAGTTGGTCAACATTTAGATGTAGCTCTCACATATATATATTTATCTTCGTCCGATTTGCCTTTTATTTTGTATTAAATGTGTAATATTAGCCCAATTAGGATGAAATTGGGCACATGCGACTAAATTGAGCCTAGACGTAAATACGTCAAAGTTTGTGAAAAATCGGTTGGGACATTGCCATAACTTCCACATATATTGTTCATCCGATTTGTTATATAAAAACGATATTCCAGAAAAGATACCAACGTAAAGCTCAGAAATATCTTGGTAAAATTTTATCAATATCGGTTCAGATTTGAATATATATATACATAAATTTGGCCGACTTGGTGTTCTTTGTGACCCAAATTGTTAATATAAGCCCGAATTCAGTCTGGAAAAAGTGTCTCAAATTTGGAGAAAATCGATTCAGATATACCTAAAGGTGTGAAATGAAAAGAGTGAGATAAAAAACTGCATCCAACTTCGGACTGATGTCATTTCTAAGCCACTCGTCCGACAGCTGTTAAAATTATTCGTTATATTGTTTACAAGCGTAAAAAAACATTTTTGTGCGAATTTTCCAGAAAAAAAAGTTATTCGTGATGGAATTCAAGCGTGATAGTGTGATTTCTTTAAATTTGGCGGGAGGACCACAAGTGGTTATCGTTAGAGCACTACAGCATTTTAATCTGAATAAATCTTTTGTGTCATATACCATCGCTCGTTACCTGGTAGCGTAGCCCGAGGTCAAGGAAGCGGACGGAAGAAAATAGCAACATCAACAGAAATGGTTCGAAAAGTAAAGAAGCGACCTGATAGAAACCCGCGTCGCAGTGGCCGAAAATGACTCGTAAGCTGAACACATGGCAATATTCCATTCGGCAAATATGGAAAAATGAGATCGGGGAAAAGCCATTGAAATTCCAAAAAGTGCAAGAACTTACACCGCAGCAGAAAGAAATTAGTCTTAAAAGAGCTAAAGAGTTGCCTCGCTTGGCCGAAAGTGGTGAACTGCCGAATTTGGGTTTCTCCGATGAGAAAACATTCGTTGTCCAGCAGTTTGTAAACAAACAAAATGATCGTGTTTACTCGACAAAGGGGTCAGCTGAGAATGTGCTCCTTTGGTTGGCCATCAGGACTCAAGCGTAAAAATATTCTGGAGGGTGTATTAAAGCCATTTTGGCCGCAGACCTTGTACATTCCAACAGGACTCAGCACCACCGATCGCACTCAGCACGCGCCACCCAAGAATGGTTAAAAAATGAGGTTCCTCGCTTCATTTCCAGCGCACAATGGCCACCAAAATTTCCGGATACCAATCCATTGGACTATTGTGTCTGGAGTATTTTGGAAAGCAAGGATGACACTAAAAAATGTGTGTCGATCACCTCAAGCAAGCGCTTCGCCGGAAATGGACCAAAATACCGCAAAGCAACATTCGGCCAGTGTCTGACGGTTTCATTGGTGGTTCGAAGGCCAGAAATTCGTGCCAATGGTGACCATTTCGAACAAATCTAAACTTATTCTAAAATTTGATGCCATTTCCGACATTTTTTTTAAAAAATTATGGCGTTTGACTTTGTTGCAGTTTTTTTATCTCACCCTGCAGAGAATGTGAAATAAGCCATTGGAGGCTCTAATATCCATGACAGAAAATGCAAGGTCTTTCTCTGGCCGTTGTAACAAGCCTCTTTGTTTTTAGAGAAGAATCTTGCAACAGTATCCAATTTCGTAGTTTTGCTTAACTAACATGTTCTTTCAATTCGAAAATATATTTATGTTTGACCCACCCTGTCGGTGTTGAAAGAAGTTTGATGTGGATTACGAGGAAAAACTAGGAGTTTGTTTTTACAATTTATTTGATTATGAATTTGAAATTTATATGTCCTCTAATCTAAGTAGTTATTTTCACTTTGATAGCAGTATTGAAAAAATAAAAACTTAAAGAGAGGAAAAAACAATCACTTGTCAAAGTTTTTGGGTCAGCCAAGCAAAAACAAAAACAACAAGAGCAACAACAAGAATAAGAAGTAAACAAACAGTGATGTGACAGCCGGTGGTATCTTATCGAGATGCTGAAGTACGGAAAAATGGGACCAACTTCTACTTATCAGTGATTTAGATTTCGCAATTTCTAAAATGCTCTTTGATATGCGATTGCTTTGAAAGAAATATGAGGTTGCCATTTGTTTGATGGTGTATTAAGGTGGATGCAAATTTGAGAATAAAATGTGCATGTGTTTCGGATTGGAATTTTTATTGATATCGACATTAGACCAAGCTCGTTAAATTTGAAACCTAATTATTTTAAATTTTGTAAAAATTGCATACTAAATGCATATTTGAAATTCTTATACGTTTGTTAAAAATGCCAATAGCAAATGTAAACGAAATACTTGAAATCCACCCCAATATTATGCTTCCATTAATTTTCGAATATTGCATGCATTTCCACAATCTGCTAATGGGTTATACATGTTTTCACTTTTTTTCCCCGTCAACAACAACGCGATATTGAAAACCGCAACAACAACAATAACAAAATGAAAGTAACAAAAACATTATTTCACCTCCTTATCATTTGACAGATATTTTCGTTAGACAACCCATTTACGAGAAGGAGTAGTGTCTTCAAAACATGGCCAATTCTAAGGTGCTTGGCTCAAGACGGATGACAGTGTGGGCAGCGTGCTTGTTCGCTCTGGTGGCTGTTTCACAGGGTTTCGATGAAACCCTGCGCAGAGATTTCCCTGGACCCTATTGCCAGAAAATCGACAGGTGTTGTGATAACAGACAGGACAGCTGTGCAGTGCCAATAGCAGGTGAGAAATACAATTGCAGACCGAACTTCGTTTTCTAGAACTATTTAACTCACCTGTTGGTTTCAGATACTTTGTGCTACTGTGATGCCTTCTGTGATCGTGATCGTTCCGCTGATTGCTGCCCCGACTACTATTCATTCTGCCATGGTAAACCCGATCCGATCGTTACCTGCCTCCACAACGGCGTCCATTTCAGCAAATACAATACGACACGTGACAATTGCAACGAATGCCGCTGCTTGGAGGGTGGACATGTTGAGTGCGACACCGATTTGTGTCTAACCGACGACGATCTAATACACAACATCAATTCGATCAACATGCTGGGCTGGTCTGCACGCAAATACAACGAATGGTGGGGCCACAAATACTCTGAGGGTCTGACCAAACGTTTGGGCACCAAGGAACCCACCATCCGCGTCAAGAGCATGGTTGGTTTGCACAACAAAGCCGAAGGTTTGCCAAGGAATTTCAATGCCATCGACAAGTGGTCCGGATACATTTCCGATGTCCCTGATCAAGGTAAGTTTGTGTGCTCATTTGCCTTTTAGTCGCAGTCTCTCAACTTAATGGTCGTTTGTATTTTAAAGGCTGGTGTGGCTCCTCTTGGGTCATTTCAACCACCTCTGTGGCCTCTGATCGTTTTGCCATCCAAAGCCGTGGCAAGGAGGTGATCCAACTTTCACCACAAAATATTCTCTCCTGCACACGTAGACAACAAGGTTGCAACGGTGGTCATTTGGATGCTGCATGGCGTTATTTGCACAAGCCAGGGTAAGTTTCGACTCTGGACAGGCACATGCATGGAAGTGTTATGCTAATCGTTTTGTTTATTTAGTGTTCTTGATGAGACCTGCTACCCCTATGTTGGACGCCGTGAAAGTTGCAAAGTTCACCGTCACTCCCTTTCTGCTAATGGCTGCAGACCAGCAGCAGGTGTGGATCGCGATGGCTTATACAAGGTGGGCCCCGCCTATTCTATCCAGAATGAGACTGATATAATGGCTGAAATCTTCCACTCTGGCCCCGTTCAAGCCACCATGCGTGTGTACAGAGATTTCTTCTCGTACTCCGGCGGCATATACCGTCACACCGCTGCCAGTCGCAACGCTCCCGTTGGATTCCATTCAGTCAAATTGGTCGGTTGGGGTGAGGAACATGATGGTGTTAAATATTGGGTATGTTGGAATGACATAATTTATTACAACATTATTCTCATCGAACTTTCCCAATTTTAGGTTGCTGCCAACTCCTGGGGTCCCTGGTGGGGTGAACATGGCTACTTCCGCATTTTGCGTGGCTCCAACGAATGCGATATCGAAGACTATGTCCTGGCTGCCTGGCCCGATGTGTACAACTACTTCAAGACCAGTCCTTACTGAGCTGACCGCCTAATCAGCACTACTACCAACGACAAAGAGACCTCAGCCAAATTAAGCAACGCTAATTAATCTCGTTACTTTTCCATAATTTAAGTGCCGTTCTCTTTCGAAGCAAACGAATCTTTAAAATATTTGTAGTTTCTAAGTTTAGTTTTTAGTCGTTAGATGATGCAGATGATGATGTAGATGATGTAGGGCGGCAGGAAGACGAGCGCCAATACCGACCGTATTGGCATTTTCCATTTAGGTGTCGTGTCGCCAACTGAAAATGCAAAAACTAACAAATCAGTGAAGTATTTATAGCTTTGTTCGTTTCTCTAACTCGTAAGATTATTTTTTTTTATTATTTGAATAGGATTATTATATAACTATTATTTATAACAAATTATTATTATTATATATTTTTTTTTTAATTTAAAAATAATAAATATTTTTGTATTGTACTGTCCGCTGAACATAAAACTGCCCACCAAAAGCAAACAACCAAAAAGAAAAGTTCTGTAATAAAATCTGCCCTGACCCGGGTGATTTCTTGTCAGGTTTTCCCCACCCCACATTTGTGGGAAAGGTACATTCTGAGCAAGAGAGTATCCGACCATATTTTGGAATTAATTAATTTAACTGCCACCCTTCCAATATTTATTTTTTTTAGCCATTTGTGTTAATTTTAATCAATTTAGCCAGTATGTAAAATGATTGTAGAGATGATTGTAACTATTTGATAACATTTACACCACTACATATAAATATATGCAAATGTTTATGTACAAAATAAAAATTACAAAAAAGAAAATTATCGATGATGTTGATATTATTGGAACAGATCAGTTTCGAATGTCCTGGGGTATAATTTATTTTGTTTGCAAAAGTTTTTTTGATTCCTTAGAAAGAAGTGAAAACCCATGGATATAAATTAAGATCTTATTAGATTCGGTCAGCTCTTTTAAAAATATATCTCTCAAGGATGTGTTTAACCATTTGCTCGACACACCTGTGTATAGAGTTTTGGCTCTGAAGTTTGTATATGTCCTAGCCGCATAGTTAAATATACTGCTCCCGTTACTGAGTCGTCTGTCCATTTTCAATTATATTCAATCTTAAGAATGAATTGATGGCACGATCCTTAGGAAATTCGGGCAAAATTGTGACCAAACAATTTCATCTCCAAAAAAATTAAAATGGTTTGGCCTTAACTTGGCTTGAATTATGTTACGATTCGCAGCATCTATATTCACTCTACAGAATGAATTGATGGTACGATCCTTAGGAAATGCAGTGCGAAATTGAGGCCAGACAATTTCATCTCCAAAAAAAAAAAATGAAAAGGTTTGGCCAAATTAAGGATTGAATTATGTTACTATTCGTAGCATCTTTGAAGAAGTACGGTTCAATGATGCCGCTATTGAACCATAAATATACTTCGCCGTTGAAAACAATTTTTCGATAAAACAAGCAAGGCCGAGCTTTTAATACCCTCCACCATTTTGAAGGATTTTGAAAGTACTATTTAAATGAAAACCGAAAACCGAGGGCTATACGAAGACGTGAACCTGCATAATTTTGTAGTAGTAGTTGCATAGGCTGTAATACCGATTCCGAACTTCAAATATGAAATTTGAATAATGTCGCTAATATCATTAAAATATTGAATAAAGGGAGATAGCGTTAAGTGTGCGCTATATGAAGACGTGGACCTGCATAGACCATTTTCTGTCATAGGTTGTAGTACTCATTACGAGCTTCAAACTTTAAATGCGAAATTTGAAACCATTTCGGTCAAAAATGTCGTTAAAATCATCAAAATACTGAATATCGGGGGTACCGTAATATGGGGCTATTCGACATGCTGCACCTAAATAGACAATTCTCATCCACGGGGTAAAGTACTCAGAAGGAGCTCCTTGTGTGAATTTTCGGACAATTCTATTGAAAAATGTGGCTACAATCATCAGAACACCGAATATAAAAAGGTACCGTTATATGGGAGATATACGAAATCGTGGACCTATAAAGACAAGAAGAGACCTTATAAGAATAATGAAGGATATACTTAGTCAACGTGGAGATACTAGTTTTCCAAAGGCTTCAAAGGAGACCTGATTAAGCAATAATCTAAGATGCTTGTTCTTGGTAAGTAAACTTCCCAATCTCCTTAAAAGAGTGCGGTCCCTCTCTTGATACTACTCTCCTTTTCTCTTTCCTTTTCGCCTCCATATCTTATATATAAGTCATGGCCGATCTTCGAAGCATATCCTCCCCCCCAAAACCAAATACAATATGTTTCCCCACTACTCTTGTTTCCTCTCTTCTACTCTTTTCTCTCCTTTGCCTTTCTCTCTCTTACTCTTCTCCTCTTCTCTATATGACGGTTTCTAGAAGGACATTCTCCTCCTTTTCCCCTCATAACTCTGTATTTTGGAGGGTACCGATTGGAATACAATCAGAGGTTAGGTTTGCTCAATTTTACTCGGGAGTAAAAAATAACAGAGAGTTCGAGTTAAATAGGACGGTCACTCTCTACTCATTGGCGGTAAAGTACTCCTTGTGTAGAATTTCGGACAATTCCATTAATAAATGTGGATAAAATCATCAAAACACCGAACGGTGGTGGGTACCGTTATATGGGGGCTATACGATGTCGTGGACCGATATAGTTCATCTTCAAACTTGACCTGCCAACACACAAAAAACTGATCTGTGGAAACTTTTTGACTCTAGCCTGACGGACGTCTTACAATTTTACGCTGATCAAGATAGGTTTTAAATTATTATTTCGATGAGTTACAAATGGAATGGCGAACTTAATATACTCTCCATACTATGTTTGGTGGAAAGTATAGAAATGGAGAAGGAGAGATTTCGAAGAGCTTATTCACAAAAAATGCTTAGTTCGACTTCAATTATGGCACCAGCTGTCTTTTGAAAGGCTTCACACCTAATTCTTTCCGCAAATTTTTTCACGTTTTTGACTAACAGAAGCCCAATTGCTGCGAACGTCGACAATTGACGGTCACCATTAACACTGGCCAATACAACTGCAATTTTTTCTTCAGTTCGCACTCTAAGTGGGGGTGTTGGTGGTTTAATGTTCAACAATGTAAATGTAGTGAGCAATTTAGTAACAATAGCCGCCTCAGAGGGTCAATTAAATTGACCATAAAATCGAAGAACAACCTCGTATGCGGAAAATAGGCTCTAAATGTGACATTTTTATTTTTCCGCTCATGCCAGTATTGATATTGTTAACATTTCGTTTAAAATCATTCGACCTTTAAATGATTCAAATAATTATAAAATAGTTGAATCATTCATCCCACCATAGCTTTTGGTTACATGTTTTATTTGAATTTGAGTATAAAAATAATTTTGTTGCAGAAATACATCGATTATGGAAAATTAAAAATATTTTCATTTACCACCGCCAAAAAAAAGTTTTAGAAATATATTTCCAACCACAATGGAGTTCACATTGTCAGGAAAACAGCATTTATGGTTTTCGTTGTCACCCTTTTACTGCTTGGTTTTTTCGAAGCGTCTACTAGCTAGCTTTATCTCAAAAATATTAAATGATTACACACTTAAAAAATGTGGCATAATTTCAGGCTGTAGTGAAATTCAAAAAATTTTGCTACTCCGTTCACATGCATACAAATATTCATGTACACTCATTAAAACATACCAGCGAGTCTCTGCTGATCTCAGTCTCTCTTTCTCCCTTCATGTTAATTTACAGCCAAAGCTTATGTATCAAAAAAAAAAAAAAAAAAAAAAAAAAAAACAACAAATTACACTTTCGGCTTGACAAGTTTTTTTTTCTTCTTTTGTCTGGGCGTAAAGTTCGTTTTTTGTGATTCATTTCGCCAGTTTTTGAAAACCGTTATCCAGTCTTGGCTTAATACCTATGACTCATTTTCATTTTTGCTGTGTATGAAAGAGAAAAGTTACCAAGTCAGCGCTTAAGTCAACACAACAATGAAAGTCAAATAAATTTAGCAATTCACTTTTTTTAATTGGAAACGAACAAGGGAATCCAAGAAATAAAAAATGTAAATAGGTCGCTATCGGAGGTCTTAAATCTTATAATGTCTCATCCTTTAGCAAATCGCCTTAGTAAGTGATTTTCTACAAATGGAGTGGGATATACGAAGATTCTAATTTATATCTGGACTGTACTTTTAACGGATCAAGAACGGATAAAGAACGAATCGACCTACTGAGAACTCAAAATGTAATGTTAGAGCTGAATAGCGCAAATCGGGAGGCACAGATCTATGGCGGTATACCTTGATTTTGGCCAAAATTACCCATTTTCAATACCAAAAATAAGATTTTTAGAATTCGCGATATCAACAGACTGAATCGATAGTGCCAGACCTGCTCAAAACCGTATTCTAGCAAATGAGTCCAGAAAAGAGACGATTTAAGGGTAAACAAAAATTAATTTTTTATGCTCTCCACCTTGAAAAGGAGAAGGAGAGAAATATTTAGATATAGCAATTTGTAAAGAATTGCTGACTTGTTTCGCAAGTTTGACAGATAAAAGTATTGAAAATGGTGATCATTTTTGGGGGAAGTACCGGAAGGGGTTCTTCACAACAGATCTTGCGTTAGATAAAATGCTTTTATGTCTGAAATTTGTTTTTCAAAATTTTGAAACCTATTTGGGGGTTGTACCAGAAGAAATGATCCGATCTATACCATGTTTATAACAGATATTGTGTTGATGGAACTATTGAGACGTGCCAAGGCTGAATGGAATCGGATGTTAATTTCACGTTTTATGATATGGATATGGATATTCCAAAATTTTGACCCTTTGTGGGGTAGTACCAAAAGGAGTAGACCGATGTATTTTATTTTCATAGCATATCTTGTGTTAGTGGAAATAATGAGATGTGTGAAATATGAAAAGCACCGGATGCTTATTTCGGATTTATTGATCGCTTTGGTCAAACTTTGACCTTTTGTGTGGGATGTACCAGAAAGAATTGTCCGACCTCTATCATATTTATAACAGATCTTGTGTTGATAGAACTATTGAGACGTGCCAAGTTTAAATGGAATCGGATGCTAATTTCGCGTTTTATGAGCTTCATGGATATTCAAAATTTTGTCCCTTTGTGGGGGAGGTACCAGAAGGAGTGGACCCATGTAAAAATATTGTGATTTATGTAAATTGAAGACAATCGGACTCTTACACCACATTTTATAAGAGACATAATTATTAAAAATTTTGACCCTTTGTAGGGGTGGCACTTTGTGAAGTGGACCGATATTGCCCATTTTCGTACTTGACCTAGCACTGATGCAAATATTAGGATATGCAAATATTAGGATATGCATATTGGAAATCAGATTATCCTTTCTTTTTCTGTGCAGTAAATTATTTTCTTTGAAAATATTGACATTTTGTGGGGGGAGGTACCAGAAGGTATGGACCGATATTGGCCATCTCCGAACTCGATCTAAGTTTGACAATAAGATTACGATGTACCGAGTTTGGATCAAATCGGATATTACCTTCGAGAGTTATCGTGCGCACCAGCCAGCCGGACAGACGGGGGGACATCGCTAGATCGACTCCAAATGTTCTGATACGGATTTTGTCCAAAAATACCTAGGATCCAAAATGTTTTTTCGATGAGGCTCGTTTTGCCCGTACCAAAAATATATATACCGTCTGTAGCCATATGGCCGAGGGCATAAACATTCGTATTTGTAGTTCATAATGGGTTCCAGCTCCGGTGGCAGAACATTGAATATTACGCTCTGGGTTTTTCCATCATGCACATATAACGATAAAATATTTGAAGAAAGTATTCTATATATTTGAAACTTCGGCTAAGTTCAGTTAGGAACAAGGACAATATCGACCCACGTAAACCACATAAGGGTTAAAATTAACTTTTATACATTAATACTCTAAACAAATACAAATAAAATATTAAAACCTGAAATTGAATAATCCCTGCTCTCATAGAATGGGAAATAAAATGCAGATCAAAAACAAAATGAAGTAAAATTTGAAAATTATTTGTTATGTTCCATGAGCTGGGGTAGCCTATATTACTTTCGAAAAAAAACAACTTATTTTTATCGATGATAACATATTCATATCAATTCTGTAAAAAAGTTTGAAATATCACTCTCAGTCTAATTTTGTCATACGCATATGCATAACACCCTTTCTCAACGTATGGAGTGGGTCTCCATTAATCTCGAGCCCTGCTGAGAGCATTGTAAATATGTTCTGATATTCTAATAAATGTAGCAATTAATTTATTTTGAATTGATTTATTTATACCCATCTACCTGTAAAGTACGTCGGACAGCCAAAGTGATTGGCTGGTAAATGACCCAATTTAAATGAAGGCACGTTGTAAGCTTTGTCACATTTCTTACGAGCGAGAGCGAACATCGAACCCTTTTACCTACATTTGCCCGTTTCGAAGTTTATTGCCTCCATCAAATGCCAATAAAATATAAATTGTGTTTTGTTTTGCAACGAATGCCTGTTGTTGTTAGTGCCAATTAGTCGAGCAAATATTTAAATGTAACGATAAGAATATTTAGAGAGTGCTTTATGGCGACGACAGACAGACAGCCAGGCAGTGAGTGGCAGGAGTATTCCACATGTCCGGATTGCCCCCCATTAATATCGGCACATGATCACTCTAGCATCCAGCAACCGGCCATTATCTGGTCACTCTAAGAACTTTTAAGAACGTCGGGCTATTTAATCATTGCTAAATACGCTGAACGACATCATGCTGCCGCGACTACGTGCTAAACCTCTCTTGGCCGTGTGAGGTTAGCTCTTTGATCAAACGTTTTTCAATGGAAATTTGCGAAATTAAAATTGTTTTTGCCAAATTGTTATCGTCTTTTTTTGTTCTTGTTGCTGTCGCTCGCTGCTGAAGTTTTGTTTGTTGTTATCTCATTGTGCCATATCGACAGAGGGTAAGCAGGCAAAGCAAAATACGACTAACAACAGAGTTCCAAATGAAAAGTAAACAAACCAAACCACTTTTGCTGCAATTGCTTTAGCCATTATTTTTTGTTGAGACACAAAAAAAAAAAAAAAAAAAAAAAAAAAACAATTCAAGTCTCTCCATATTGGCGGCATTATGAGTACCAACGGAACGGGTTATATTCTTGTTGGCTTTGTTGTTGCTGTTCTGATCATTCAGTTTCAGCAGCTTGACGGTTGTTGGTCTACGCGATCAACGATCAGTAACGTAAACAATCTTGAACTTGACAGTTGACAGTCGAATGTGCCGGCGTGCGCACTTCTTGCATCGATCTTTAAGCGTTGTTACCCAAGAAACACAGCAGCACTAAAGACGCGCACCCTGCATTCCGAACATCGCGCGACAGACAAAGAGTCGATCCGACCAACAAATAAACATCGCCGAGTGCACTGCAATCTTCTGTTGTTCTTGTAAAAATAGTTTTAATTTTTCGGTTACATTAAAAAAAATATATATACACTGCCGTCTAAAAATATACCATAGCCTACAACGTCAAGCACTGCAGAATTGGTTTGCTTAGAAGCGAGCAACACACAGAGCAGCAAAATCGTATTACCGGTTATTTACAAGTGACGACCACAGACAAATCCAAAAAAAAAACAAAAAAGGGGGTGTCAAGTGATTTCCAACGAATTAAAAAAAATCATAAAAAAACATAAAAAATATTAATTATTTTATATTGTTTGCCGTTTGGACTTCAGTGTCTGTCCAAAAGTTGAAAAAACTCTACGGAAGTCGTCACCCATCCATTTGCCATTCATCATCAACGCTTTCGACAGTTGGCAGCCAAACAATGACGTCGCCTGTTAAGCACGGAACCTACTGGCCATTCATAATTACAGGTAAGAACGCGGAACGCTGGCTAATCGATATTAACGGTGTCTGACTGATTATTTTTGAATACGAAACTGTTGTTGTTGTTGTTTTATTTCAATTTTGCACTCTGTTGTAAGGTTTCCTAGACGAGAGACTTTCGAAAGTTAATTTTCCGCAAGTTTGTACAGCTGTTGGCCATGAACCTCATGCCAAAGCATTTAACATGAAACGGTTAACAAATTAAAGCAACAAATGAGACAATTAAAAAATATGTGGTCGAGATTCGCACAGACACATACATGCGCACACATACACGCATGAAAAGTTGTGTGTTTTTTGCAAGGAAGGAAGTAAGACGTAAAGTCACAGTCAAGAAAGCTCCATTGAAGTCGTAGACCCTGAATTCGAGGGTGTAAGGTGTAACTGGTCGTTAACATAAAATAATAGACCAAACCTTTTAATGACTTCAATTTATAAGGCGTATTTACCTTCTCTCACAACACTTATCAGTATTTGTTGACTGAAAAGTTGCTTAATGACAAAACTAGAAAATGAGAGTTCTGTGCAATCCGATTTGAGTGAACTACCGTGTCCAGGAAGCAAGCTCAACAACACGAGCTCGCTCAAGTTCAATTTCTCCGAACTACTGGAATTCAACAATAAATCAGTGGTAAAATATTATTTTATGTGTATTCTATACATTTTAAACATAGTTTTCAACAATATTCATGTAAACAAGTAAAAAACCTGTAAGTTCGGCCGGGCTGATCTTCGAATAACCTCCACCATTTGGAACGATTTTAGCCATTTCCGTTAAAAATTTCGAATGTATCCATTACATTAAAGTCTATACGACGACGTGGGCCTGTATAGGCAAAATTTGTCATAAACCATTACAATATTCGAATGCGAAACCTGAATAAAAGAAATTGGTGAATAATATGGGGGATAAACGAAGACGTGGACCTGCACAAACAATTTTCTGTTTTAGACTATTATATCCGTTACGAACTTCAAATACCAAATGTGAAACATTTCCGGTGGATACTATTATATGGGGGCTATACCAAAACGTGGACCTACATGGCTCATTTTCAATACCAAAAGTCCTGCAGACATAATACAAATTTGAGAAAGATTTTATCAACCTACTTCATTTCGTTCGAAAGCTAGAGTGATTTCCACAGACGGATAGACGGACGGACATCGCTAAATCGACATAGAATTATATGCTGATACTTTGTGGGGTTAAATGTATATTTCGAGGTGTTACAAACGGAATGACAAACTTAATATATCCTCCATACTATGGTGGAGGTAGGATTTACGAGTAGTAAAATATAAAGAAAAAAATTAATTTTTGTTTTCACTTAAATTATCTCTTTTGCTTGCTAGCACACGATTTTGAGCAGGGCTGCCACGAAGTTCGGGAAAGAAAATTAGTAAAAATGTAAAACTTGGATGGCCATCCTTCAGACAATTACAAATTGACACTCAGTTATTTGTTATCAAACAGATTTGTATAATAAAGCGATTTCAAAGAGATCGTCATCAGTTGATATTTATACCCTCCACCATACATAGTGTGAAGGGTATATTAGGTTCCTCACTCCGTTTGTAACTCATCGATCAGCGATAATTCTTAGACGATTTAGCCCTGTCCGTCCGAGCGTCTGTTGTAATCATGTTGGAGTTAAAAGGAATAATCAGTCTTTTGTGTGCAGGCGGGTCAAGCTCGGAGATGGGCTACATTGGTCTACGAGATCGTATGGCCTGTTATATGGGACCCCCCCGATATTGAGTATTTTGATGATTTTAGGTATATTTTTTTTTTTCAATGGAATTGATTGAAATTCTACATAAGGAGTTGTTTGTGCGTACTTTACCGCCTGTAAGAGAATTGTCTATATAGGTCCATGATATCGCATATCCCCCATATAGCGGTGCCTCCCGATATTTGGTATTTTGATGATTGTAGCCAAATTTTTCAATGGAATTGTTTGAGAATCCACATCAGGAGGTGCTTTTGATTACTTCACCCCCTGGAATATATCAATATAGGTCCACTATATCGTATACCCCTATATAACGGTACCTTCCGATTTTCGCTATTTTCATGATTTTAGCCACATTTTTCAATTAAATTGTCTGAAAATCCACACAAGGAGTTCCTTCTGAATACGTTACCTCCTGAAATAGAATTTTCAATATAGGTCCACGATATCGTATATCTCCCATATAACGGTAACTCACGATATTCGGTATTTTGATGATTGTAACCATATTTTTCAATAGAATTGTCTGAAAATCCACACAATCTTTCTGAATACTTTACCCCCCGGAAGAGTATTGTCCATATAGATGCACCATATCGTATAGCCCCCATATTACGGTACCTCCCTAAATTTTTAATAGAATTGTATGAAAATCCGCAAATTCCCCATATAACGGTACCTACGTATATTCGGTATTTAGATGTTTTAGTCACATTTTTCAATGGAATTGTCTGAAATTCTACACAAGAGGTTCTTCGTGAGTATTTCACCCCCTGCAAGAGAATTGTCGGTATAGATCCACGATATCGCATATCCCCCATATAACGGTACCTCCCTATATTTGGTATTTTGGTGATTGTAGCCAAATTTTTCAATGCAAGAGAATTGTCTATATAGGTCCACGATATATGGGGGCTATATGACCCCCGGTACCACCCTAATATTCGGTATTTTGAAGATTTTAGGGACATTTTTGCCCGGAATTGTTTCAGAGTTTGATAAGTAATGCCTAATACAACCTACCCCAGAAAATTGTCTATGCAGGACCACGTCTTCATACAGCCTATATATAGTGGTACCTCCCTTTGTCCGGTATTTTGATGATATTAGCATCATTATTCAATGGAAGTTTTTTCAAATTTCTTAATTGAAGTTCGGAATCGTTACTACAAAAATTTACTTATGCAGGTCCACGTCTTCATATAACGGGTTTCATTTAAATGGTATTTTTCGACGGATTTTTTTGAAATTATTAAAGATCCTTCAAAATGGCGGAGGATACTAAAAGTTCGGCCTGGCAGAAAAAAATTGTGTTTTAAATTAAATTTTACTACATTTTTGTCTCCAGTGGGGGTTCAACTTGCTATATCCTGTTTGAAAGTTTGTTTTTATTATTAATTTGATCTGCTGGCAATGTAAATATAAGGTATGCTGTTGTCATTTCTTTTAGTGCCGATTGCGGCAGAAGTTCCATAGACATTTTGCTGGAAAATTCAGTATTTTGTAAGTGCATTATGAGTCTTGGCAGAATTTTGTTGTTAATAATAAATTGATATTTCGTGATGATATATTCCAAATTGATATAGTTTTCCACCAAAAATTGTTAGAAGTTTTTGAGATATATGCAAAAATGATGATTAAAATGTGCTCATTACTTAGGATTTTATCTGTAGTACCACAAAGATAAACTTGGACTTCATAAATGTTGGAATCAACATATAAAATGTTGGAAGTTTTTCCAATTTAACTATTTTGGAACATCATTTATCCTACAATCAAATATTCCATTCATGTGCTCTTCATCAAATCAATCAAAATTCAGAGGACAATCGATCGACAAAAGTATACATTTTTTTCAATACTGTTAAGAATAAGCTGATTAACGAGTGAATTTTGCCCACAGAAAACCAAGCCGGTATCATTAATGGCATTAAGTTCTTTTCTCAAATTAAATGACGAAAAATACTTTTTCAATATCTCACATGGGCTGGAAGTACTTTATTCGAATACAATATGTTATCGTAATTGCGACAAACCTACAAATATCGAACATTCGTTTTGTTCGTACCACGCCATAAAGGAGATTTTAAAAGTGTTATTAAATCATTAACATTTCCTAATGTTTGTTGGCGATTGATTGATTGTTTATTTAGCTGTGAATGGCGACTACCGGATTTTATTGTTTACAAGCGAAAAAACGCTTTGGGCGCTAATCAAACGCGTTCAAAAGCTGGGTTGAAAATAAATCAGAATCATAATTTGAATAAGATTTTTCCAATGCAAAATACGAATGATTTTCTCACATTAGCATAGGCTTTAAAGTTGTTGTTATTGTTGTTAGAACAATTGTGGGCACCTGATGTTTTCAAAACTACTTCTGAAGTATTTCAGGGGTGCACAAATATCACGATATCGCCAGCGAAATATGAATATCAAATGCTGATGTTTTAATTTAAATCAATTGTTCTCGAAAACCAAATCGCATCAAATTCTAAATTCTTCCCATGGTAGGAAACGTGAGTTCCAGTCTGTCTACGATCTGTCCGGCTGTCTCTCTGTCTGTCGCCATGTGCCATTGATCTTGAAACCGTTGGGTGGGCAAATGTAAATGAGTTCAATTAGAAAAGATTGTTTTTGAATTAAATTAAGAAAATGCGAGAAGACAACAGCGGTCACTATTTCCACTCGGAATCGAACAGCATACATTTTTTTTGTTTTGCCTTGCGAATATTGAATTCCGCTCCTGGAGAATCAATGGCACCACCTTTTTTTGCTGTTATGTGAATAAAGTGATGCAATCAATGGCAATGTCACATCACAATTTAGATTTTAATATTTTTATTTTTATTTTTTTTTTTGAAAGACATAAATGCGGGACCCATAAGCGAAATTGGGGAATTTTCCATCAATTTAAGAGAGATTGTGTGAAAATAATTGATTATATTTTAGGAATATTATTGACAACGAAATGTCTCAAATAAGTTTCGGTATGGAACCATGGTTTTTAGGCATAAGTGTATTTTCAGTTTTAAACCTGAAAAGGGCTTCATAAAATCGGAAATCCATGTGTTTATTTTTTGAAAAAATGTGCATATGTTTTAATCTAGATTTTGTGGCTTAAATCGTCGAAGGCCGAATATTCGATGGAACCGCTATGCGTGTGCTATAGGAATACGTGGGCCTAGACATTCAATGTTCTGCCACCGAAGCTAGAACACATTACGGACTGCAAATACCATTTTTTAGACAAATCCGTAAAATATCGAATATCGGGAGGGGCAGTTAATGGTTTTCATGATCTACATAGAATCATATAGGATTTATCCAGAATTTATGCATTTATGTATATATTTTAGTAAAAAAAAGTACTGATCGCATTTGTTGCCACGATCGAGATGAAATTTTCAATAAATCATTTCTTTGGCCTAAGGGCGAGTTTTATTGGCTCAATCGGTGATAATCGGTCAAAATTATAGCTCCTATATATATCTTCGTCCAATTTGTCTTTTACTGTACACCAAAGGTGTAATATTAGCCCAAATAGAATGGGATTTGGCTTATGCGATCAAATTGAGACTGGAGGAAACAGTGTCAAACCCGGTGCAAATATAGCATTAGGTCCCATATATATTGTACTTCCGATGTTTTATTTTTGCTCCCCTCCCCAGGCATAATATGCACTCGATGTGCACCAAATGAGTAATATAAGCTCGCAATGGAATGATTTTTGGTACATATGTATGACTAAATTCAACCTGCAAGAAAGCGTCTCAAATCTAGTCAAAATCGGTTTAGATATAGCAATGGCTTCCATACATCCCCCCTACACTCGTAAAATGCAATTCACAGCAACGATATTTGATGATAGCTCTTAGATACATCATGGGAATTCCTCTGATAAATTTTCCTGAGATCGCTTCAGATTTGGATATAGCTCCCACATATTTTGTTATTCTCCTGATTAGGATGGATTTAGGTGAAAATCAGTTCAGATATAGCTATGGTTCTGCAATATATGCATTAATTTAATCCTTCTCAATGTCGAGAGATACAAATGCTTCCGCGAAATTAAGTGGAAATCGATTCAGAGTAGGATATACCTCCCATATATTAGTTCCTTTTGGTAACTACTCTAAAGCCATAATAAGCATTCAAAGGCGATCAACGAATTTTATTTTGAAACTAAGAACAAATTCATGTAAAAGAAAAACTTGACTAAATTTTAGCGACTATACAGGATATGTAGTATTTTTTTCGAAAGGATAAGAGTTAATTTTAAATTTTCTCGTTTCAAATTTCAAAAATCATTGGCCATGACAAAGCTACAACCAATAACCTGAATCGAAATAGTTTATATCAAACGTATTTTAATTGAAAATAAGACACGTACTTCCCTAACTAATATGATTGTTATTTAAAAAAATGCTAAAATCATCTGTTTATTTATAAAATCGATATTAATTCAAATTAGTAGGCTAATCATCATAAATTAACTTATTATAGCATATAACACCGGAATTGATAAATTTAAAATAAATACTGAATATTATACATATGTAAGTATATTACTCAATATAGTTTTTAGATTACAATTTTATAGAAATTTATTACTTCCGGAAATTTCGTTTCCTTTTTTTTTAAATTTTTTTCTAGCCACTCTTACTCGAAAGTTATTTCACAACGAATGTAGAGCTTTCGTCAAGTTCTTGGGTGTGCGGCGTTTAACATTGTTTAATAGTTATAAACAGATAATTGTTAATGAAAAAATGTCATCGTGTCATCGTGTTTAAATATGTTAATTTTTAGCGTCCACAAAAAATGAAACCTATTGACGTTGTAGAAATTCTACCATTTTTGAAGAGTTAATAACCCAAAGGTAAATTTTCTGAATGAAATGAAATAAACTGGTTTATGATTCATTTTTAATTCAAAAAAAAACAAACACCGTGGAGAAGTGGTGTTTCCTTTCGCAGTTGAAGTGATCAGATGTATTTACTTAGAAAAGTAGTAACGTTTGAGTTTAGAATGCTTGACTTAAAAATATCTGCCAATTATTGTCATGGCATTCAAATTGGGCCTGTAACACTTTTGAACCACAGAATTTATATTCATTAATTCAAGCTTTTATAATGTGTATTCTCGAAGAAAAAACAAACAACTACTTTAGACTCTGCTTAAAGTTCAATATTATTTTTGCATATTTGTATCAATTAATGACGAAAGGTTTTAAAAATCCACTTAGCTATTCTGGTAAGAAAATCTAAAAGATTGAACTACTTTGCAGTCAATATTTGCTTTCTGAGTATTCTAATCGTACTCTGTCATATACAAATCAGACCGGTTTTTTTTTAGCTATAGAAAATATTGCTTTATATTGACGCATACGATTACACGGTGCAACAGCCAATCTGGGGGTTGGGAAATTCCAAGTGGAGTATTCGCGGGCAGTAGATCACAGCCCCAACATAGATTTGGCTTCCCAGGCCAAACTTTTATTTAGAGTCCGTTATACATTATATGTATATACAACCATAACCTCAAATATTTTGTATTAAGCTTCGGAAAATTTAAAGTTGAGCTTTAAAATTTAATGCCGGCCTTTGGCTTACAAAATATGGGTCATGCCGGTCTATGTTTTGGTATAGCCCCTATATAAGGGGGTATTCCGAGATTTCAAGTATTTTTTTATAATTAACCATATTTGTATACCCTCCACAATGGAGGTTATATTAAATTTGTCATTCTGTTTATAACACCTCGAAATATGCATTTTAGACCCCACCAAGAATATATATTCTTGATCAGCATAAAATTCAATCTCGATTTAACAATGACCGTCCGTCCGTCTGTCTGTCTGTCTGTCCATCTGTGGAAATCACTCTAGCTTCCGAACGAATTGAAGTAGGTGGATACAATTTTACTCAAATGTATATTATGTCTGCAGGACTTTTGGTATTGAAAATGGGCCATGTAGGTCCACGCCTTCGTGTAGCCCCCATATAACGGCATCCCCCTATTTTCGGTTTTTTGTTGATTTAATCGATATTAATCACCGGGATTGTTTCAAATTTGGTATTTGAAGGTCGTATGATAGAAAAGTATCTGTGTAGGTCCACATTTTGGTATGGCCGTCATGGTACCTCCCTATATTCGGTATTTTCATAATTATTGTAATGGCTTATGACAAATGTTGCTCATTCAGGTCCACGTCGTCAATGACCGTCCGCCTGTCCGTCTGTGGAAATCACTCTAGCTTCCGAACAAATTGAAGTAGGTTGATAAAATTTTACTCAAACTTGGGTTTAGTTTGCAGGACTTTGGGTTTTGAAAATGGGCTATATAGATACACGTTTAGGTATAGCCCCTAAATAACTCTACCTACCTATATTCCGAATTTTCCTGATTTCAGAGAAATTATTAACCTGAATTGTTTCAAATTTCTTATTTGAAGTTCCTAATGGGTACTACAGCCATGACAGATAATTGTCTATGCAGGTTCAGATCTTCGTATAGCCTCTAAATATCGAAACCTCCCTATATTCGGTATTTTGTTTGTTTTGTTTTGTTTTTTTTTTTAATTTCGTGAAGTTTAAATTTCCTAATGGCTACTATAGACTGTGACAGGTAAATGTCTATGCAGGTCCATGTCTAGACCCCAAAATAACCATATCTCCCTATATTCGGTGTTTTTAAGATTCTAATAGAATTTTTTAATGGATTATAATTATTTATTTTTTCTAAAAATTAACAAACTCGTTCCAAATTTTGTTAACATATTTTTTTGTTAATATTTTTGTAATTTGAAATTTAAGTAAAAAGAAACCATCCTTGCAAAAAAATAATGAAAATAGGTCCACGTTTTGGTATAACCCACATTTTTCAATTGAATTGGCCTATATGTGGCATATTGGTTTTTAAGGGGTTAGAAAACCCTTTCAATGTATGTCAATGCTTCGGAATAGGGCCCATGTATTGTTACCTTCTGATTATACCTATTCCAAGGATCTTGACCACATTTTCCAATCAATTTGGCTTAAAATTGGTATTTAGGCTACTTTTGGGGTAGGGAACCATCTATGTTATAGAGTAAGAATCTAAAAAGTCAAAATTTTGAGGGCTCTCTAAACAAGTAGTCCAACAATGGATTGACATTACATTGTGTTCAGTATGTACCTTTTTATCTTTCTTAGAATGCTTATTATTTGTTTACATTTATTTAATTGCTGATAAGGATAGTCTGTAAAAAGCCTAATATAGGAATGTAGCAAATATCCACTCCAAGCTTTATCCATTTAAGTTGATCATATATGAAGAAAATTTCCGCCTAAATATCAACCACGCTTTACCTCTTATTCGATATCAGTGGAAGACATTTTTTTGAAAGACATTGTTTCCATGGGAACATTCTGAGAAGAGTATCTGGGAATTAGCCTACTTGAGTTATTAGTTGAGGTTTGAATATATCAGTCGACGATATCAATTTCGAACAAAATCCCTTAAAGTTGACGAGCTCATTGAAATATAAGTCAAGGTGCCTCAGGTGATCGATGAATGGGGGACTACCCATCAATTAGATACAGATATGGGTGTTTCGTTTTGGCACCGCCTAATTTAAATTTATATTTCTTTTGAAAGGCACAAGGAAAACAATTTTATCGGTTGAGTGGCGGCTTGGTATCATCAATTCATTATCAAATATTCATTTATTTATTTGTTAGTTTAAGAGACCAACTCGAACAATCCTTAAAATTGAACTGCGCCTCAGAAACAAGGAAACTTTGAAATATAGTTTTTCACCCAGCTCTGGTCGGACATATTGTCGCCTAAACAAACGCACACAACTACTTAGTTATGGACTTAGATTATGAAAGACCACCCGAACTTTACAAATAAATCAGGGCCTATATGTGTGCGTATGCCAGTCAGACTGACATCAGAGAGATAAGATATCGATTGTGCCAGGCATATTTTTTCGCTCACCTCCCCTACGCTTGCTTTGTCATCCAACAACCTTATCTACACCCTTGTTGTTATATTTTCTATTAATAATTTTGTTTTAACATTAATATTACTTTTGGTCTTGTTTTATAATTTCAGTTGTAAGCGTTTTGCTGCAAGGTACACTTGGCCAGTCCTACCATTTTATTATTGGCCATCATCAGCGTAATTTTGATCAGCTGTACCGGGAACCGCCTCCAAGCACCAGACAATACACAAGCGACACAAATAATACGGACTCGAGCTCAGAACTGGATAGTGGCAATAACAACAGCAATAATAATAACAATTCCGCAATCATTTTAGTGCAAAATAGTAAGTAGAAGAAGAAATCGGAAAATTGCATTGGCATCGTGGGAAATTGTAAAAAAGTGAATAGCTCCAGTCAAATATTATAAAAAAAAAAGTGGAAATATTAAAAAAAAAACTCTAAGGACATAAAACATCAATGGTATATAGTGATTGGCATAGCGCCATTGTCATTCAGATGTCAGTGACTTTTAATGTTTCATGTTGTGACAAGACACTAAGTCTTTGTCTTGTGAATATTATCTTTAAATGTGTAAAACACCGTGATCATATAACATTCAGACCACTGAAGGAAAAATCCCCTCCAAAAGATAATTGTATGAAACATATTACGAAGAAATAAATTATCGTAATATCATACCGCGTTCAGTAGAGTGCACACACAGATACAAATTCATATGCAGGAAATGGTACAATTAAACCTCCTCTAAAAATTAGCTAAAATACAGAAATCCGATTCTGTATTTAAAAATTAGTGAATTAGTGACTTCGAAATCAAGTTTTTATTCCGTGGGAAATCGGCTGTTTTAACGCCTGTCGCGGTTGTTTTCCAAGGAATACTCCAAAGAATCGTTCAAGATTGGTTCGCTAAGAACTTTTCATTCTGCCAAGCCTGATTGTTGTAATCACGCTCGGTTTGTTTCAAAAAGTCCGAGTTCGAAGATGTGCCATATCTTTCCAGGAGTTGTAAATGCGATCCTACGTCCATGTAAAAACTTCATATAGGTGCACTTTTTAGGATGAAATAAGACCGCTGTTCTACTTTCATTGGTTTTTAGATAAAGAGGTAATTAATAGAAGCAGTTTGGGGGCATTAGTATTACGACGCGAGAGGTGAAATTCTTGGACCGTCGTAAGACTAACTTAAGCGAAAGCATTTGCCAAAGATGTTTTCAGTAATCAAGAACGAAAGTTATAAGTTCGAAGGCGACCAGATACCGCTCTATTTGCGGTGATTCGAAGATTCAGTCACATTTTCCAAACAAACTATTTTTCATTTATTATTTCGGGATCGTTGTGAATATAAGCTATGCCTACAAATAGGAATTTTAAAAATCGTAGCCATAATAGTTAGGACTTTAATAAAACGGCACAGTCCGATTTTTTGTGTTTGGTCAACAATGGCATTAAATATGGATAAAGGTTTTAGCATATCATTGAAGCTTTAGATATTCCATTCCACAACAAATTTGATTATAACTAAAATTTTGCTTATACTAGAAGGTATAAAAATTTTGTATCTCCATAATATCCCGAAAATTATTCGGCAATACTCACTCTTAGATAGTCCTTTGAGAAGTATTCTGCAAAATTCTAAGTTCTTTTGTCCATAAAACCCGAGGACACCTTTTTTATTATGGTTCAAGAAACATTCCAGGGAAATTTCAGTCCTATCAAGGATTTATTTGAAGAGTTATTTTCTTTAGAACTCCAGGATGTGGAGTATCAAAACGTTGACCTTCCATGAGTGAGGTTTCGAAAGAGTGGCCCAATTTTGTCCATTTCGTATCTGACCTAAGTCCAATAAAAATATTGCCACATTTGGACTCTATTAAATCGATTTGGACTACCAAATATAGTTATGCTAACAATTGTCAATCAAAAGTTTAATCTTTTTGGGGTGAAGTACCAGAAAGACTGGCCCCGCAAATTCCATATTCATATCAGATCTCTGGTAGAGAGAAATATTTAGATATACCAAGTTTAAAAGGAATCACAGACATGTTGCGCAAGTTATGAGAGACATAGGTATTGAAAATTGTTATCCTTTGTGGGGGAGGTACCACAAAGACTGAACCGATATATACAAGACGGAGAAAAGGTAAACCTCCTATCAGAAAATGCTATAAATTTTACTAGAGGTCCCTAAAAATAAAACATCGGAATGTCTGTCAAATACATACACATGTACAAGGTGGCACAAAAGTAAACTTCCGATGTTGTTTTTGAAGGTAATTAAGACATTAGGGACCAATAGGAAAAGTTATAGCACTTTCTGATAGGAGGAATACTTTTGCGCCACCTTGTATACAAAATTACGGGATGTTGTTTTAATAGAAATATGGGGATATGCCGAGTTTGCGAGATATCTGATGCTCATTTCGCGTCATATGAGCATCACGATAATTTAAAAATTTGACCCGTTATGGGGATATAGCAGAAGGAGTCGACCAATATATTCCATCTTTATATCAGATCGTGTGTATGTTGAAACATTGTGATATGCAAAATTTGAAGGGAATCGGACTCTTATTTTATAAGAATCATAACTATTCCAAATTTTGACCCGTTGTGGGGGAGGAACTTAATAAAGTTGATCGTTATTATAATTTGCAAAGTTCTCACAAAATCGAATGAAACTTGGTAAATTATTGTGTGTGAAAATATTGACTTTTTTGGGGGAGTTACCGGATGAAGTGGGCAGATATTGACCAACTCCGAACTCGTTCTAAGTTTGACAATAATATTACGATGTACCAAGTTTGGACCAAATCGAACACTACCTTCGAGAGTTATCGTGCACACCAGCCAGCAAGGCAGATGGACAAACAGACACCCTAGATCGACTCCAAATGTCCTGAATTGGATTTGATCTAAGGAGACTTAGGGTCTAAAACACTTTTGGGTGCTATAAAATGATACCTAACCTCTGTAGCAATATGGCTGAGGGTATAAAAAACCGGCAAATTAAATAATTTTCTTCGAGAAGTTCGATTTCTTGTGGCTGAGGTAACAGAAGAAGTGGGTCGGTATTACACATGTTCCAAGTCGATCTATGTTTGGTGAAAATCAAATACTCCCATCGAGAGTTATCGTTCATAGACTGACGTATATAGGGACCCCGCTAGATCGACTCCACATGCCCTGAAATGGATTTCGTCCAAAGAGATTTAGGGTAAAAATTTCTATGAGGAACATTTTGACCATATCAAATGAAAAATACCCTCTTTAGACATAAGGCTACGGTCCTCTACCAAATCCCCCTGGCTCTGTATTTCACAATTTTCCATTGGCATATCGCATTTATTTTAGATAGGCTTTCGAGAAAATGCAGCTGCACACCTTCCACAAGTGGTGGTGGTGGTGGTAGTAGTAGTCGCCTAATCATCATCGTCATCTATGGGCCATATAAGTACCGGTAACAACAATACAGGCACTTGATTTTTGTTTTTATTCCATTTTTTATCACCGATGTTGACAGAAAAATAATAACAAAACATTCAAAGTGGTGCAAATACAATAAAGTGCTTATTAAGCCTTATTTACAAACGTATTCAATTAAATATTTTAATAATTTATTACGCCAATCGTGACGATGTTCAAGTCACAACAGCAAAATACAATGTTGTGACGCCTCTGTGGCAAAATGGGGTGTGTGTTTTGGGCCCAGATAATGTTCGCTTCATTCGAAATTATCTGCAATGATTTATGAACAACCGTGATTCTTATTTTATTTTTCTCTAATTTTCTTTTGTCTTTTTTTCTTTTAGCAGTGCACGAAGGCTCCAACGAATTATCACAAACCGCCATGGACATCATTACCATTGTCTGGTATGTGGCAACATTTTTGGCCTTGGCCGCTTTCTTCCTGCTGATGGCTTGTTCCGATCGACGCTGTGCAGATACTTCACGTAATCCGCCGTTGAATACGAACGAAACCCCCATACCGCCCCCCACACCTTCCCCATCCTACAGTGAGTTTGCTCCGCCAAGTTATGACAGTGTCATGAAATTGCAGCATGCCAACAAGACCAGTATCTTTGTCATACCCTTTTCCATGGATCAATCGCCGAAAGATAACAACCCACCGCAGAGCCCGCCCACGCCCACCATCAACGTCTACACCATCAATGAACTGCAAAAAGCGGACAGTTAGCTGAATATCACAATGTCGCGTAGCTGTAAAATATATTAGCTCATATGTATTTCTCATACAAAACTGTGATATTAGAGCATTTCCTCGACCCCGGGAGCGAGGGTTGCCAACTTTTCTAGAATATTGATAAGACGTGGGTGTGCGTGTGTGCGTGTATATGACACCTCCTTGAGTGTAGATATATATTCTTTGCACACCACCCTGTTTCATAGTCAAATTAGATTTCTTCATCGATTATTGTGATAAGACTGATGTTTGTTTAGGGTAAATCAAAAGTCAAATGAATGGCATTTGCCAACACCAAAGGTGTCCATTTAGTAGGGAGTGGCTATTTTTTGATGTTTTCTGTCAAATGCTAGCCAGCTCCAGATATTTTTTATTCTTCATCTTTAATTTAATTGTTAAGTTATCTCGTGATTAATAGTATATTTGTATGTATGTCTGCAAGTACGCTGTGTTAGCTTTAAGCCAATAAAGCCAAGATCTACATAAAATACCATAATTAAAAGAGTAAACATTGATGCAGTGCGTTTTATTTAATTTTCATGGCTATTTTGTCGGGTAAGAATGCTGAAGCTACACAAGGCAACAGAAATAGTGTAGCGAAGTGAGAAAAGTTGGCGTATGAAGGTTAAACTGGAAATAATATTTGTTTAAATTTAACTCAGTTGTCCCGACCTCTTAAACTTTAGGCAATTTGTAACAACTTTTCCAAAATAACAGTTTAGTTATAATTTTGGAAATTTTGTAGAATTTTTCCTTAAAATCAAGGAAATAAATTGGCCAATATTATTTTTTTTAATATTTTTTTTATTTTGTTTTTTTTTTTTCAACTTTAGGCAATTTTGTAACAACTTTTCACAAAAAGGAAGATTTTTTGCACAAAAAAAACATAACATTTTAGTTATATTTTTGGAAATTTTGTAGACTTCTTCTTTACAAATCAAGGGGTTAAATTGGCCAATATTGTTTTTTTTTTTTTAAATTTTTATTTTGTTTTTTTCAATAAATTTATCTTCCTTTTCAGTAACAGATAGTGTCAATGGAAACATATTTGCATTGCCTAGAACAGTCCCATTTATTATTTTTATCTGAACTCACCTAACCTAGGACACAATCAACTATCTTGTGTAGGAAATAAATATTAGAACAGCATTTCTGATTAAATCAACGATGAATCACATTTTGCATTGATAAATTCAGCAGTTAGTAATATAAAAATCGATTCTTAATCGATTCTAAAGAAGTGTTCGGAAAAAAAATTAATAATTTTGATTTCGTAGATAGACATAATCTTCGTTGCTATGACTAAAATTCTACAATAATAAGTTTTATTCATTTGAAGTTTGTTAGTAAGAAAACAGAACCAATAATAACAACAAACCACAGATGACGTTCGTTGATAGAAGAGTTGTTTGGAATTTGTGAGTGTGATGTTCATCATTTGACTCATTTATTGTTGTTGTTGTTGTTTTAACAAATTAATTATTTCTTGTTGTTTCAGTTTTAAAATGTATTTATTTTTTAAATTCCTAATATCTGTTATTAAATTGGTACTGGTTGTTCTATTTTTATGGATTGCTTTCTCTTTTTTTTGTCAGTATTACACTATGCAACAAATTTTTGGTGAATAGCGAGCTAATTTTGAGGTTCTTCCAAAGGGGCAAGAAAATCTATTTGAATGTAAAATAGACTTTTAAAAGCTATGTGTCTATTGCTCTTTTGATTTCGTCTTAATGATGAGATATTAGTCATTTTCAAAGAGTTCTCATTGTGCGAGTTTAGGTTGGGCGTGGAAGATATAGAGACATTCCGTTGCTACAGTATCTAAAACTTACGAAGTTTGATGCATATATTTTTCAGGGACCAAGGTTGAATAATATTTAAATTTAAAAAAAATTTACAAGAAAAAATGTATGGCACTCATATTTACTCATTTATGATTATAAACCTTTTGGTTATTCAAAACGTTGATCCTTTGTGGGGGAGGTACCAGAAGGAATCGTTCGATCTCTACCATTTTTATAACATATCTTTGGTTGATGGAAATATTTAGATGTACCAATTCTGAATTAAATAGGATGTTAATTTCACGTTTTATGAGTATTTTCAAAATTTTGACCCTTTGTGGAGAAAGTACCAGAAGGAGTGGAGCGATATATTCCATCTTCACGCCAGACTATGGGTCAATAAAAATATTGTGATGTGTGTAATTTGAAGACAATCGGACTCTTATATCACATTTTATAAGAGTTAATTTAAAATTTTGACCCTTTTTGGGAAGGTATTTGACGAAGTAGATTGATATTGTCCATTTTCGCATCTGACCTAGCACTGATGCATATATAAGGATTTGAAAATTTGTATCAAAATCGGATTATCCTTTCTCTTTCCGTGCAGTAAATTATTTTCTTTAAACATGGTGGCATTTCGTGTGGGAGGTACCAGAAGGAGTCTAAGTTTGACAATAATATAATGATGTACCATGTTTGGATCAAATCAGATACTCCTTTGGAAAGTTATCGTGCGCAAAAGCCAGTCAGACACACGGTCGGACGGACATCGCCAGATTGACTTCAAATGTCCTTAAACGGATTTGGTACAAAAAGAGACGTAGGGTCTAAAACCGTTATTTCGATTGGGCACGTTTTGGTCGTATCAAACGATAGTCATATGGCTAAGAGTATAAAAACTAAGAAAAACACGAAGAGTTTACGGACAGTTACTGTTTGAAACAGTTGTTGGGTGTATGATGTGCCACACTACCGATCAGAAGTTTGAAAGTTCTACTGCCCATCGTCAGACATCTGAAAAAATAAAGCGTTGAAATATTGAGCTCAAAATGTCCCCTGAACATACCTCGGAGTAGCAAAAACCTCAATAGCACGATATCACTAATAAGAGAGATCTTGCTTTGGTTGTTTGTTTTCGAGCGGGAGTACATTTTGTTCGAATTTGAGCGAAACGAGCTTTGTTGTATTTAGTGATGGTGTATCAATGGTACCTTGCTTTCGTTGTTTTGCTTTTCTTGGCTTTTGTACACGATCTCTCAGATCTTTAACACTTCCCCAGTCCACAATGACATCAAAACCTATTTTTTTAAAGAAACCCTTTTTAGGGGCTTTCTTCATAGCATGGTAGAAGGTATTGAAAGTTCGGGTTGGTAAGTTTGACAAAATTTCATACATCGTACTAATTTTTCCGACTTTTAAGGTTTTATATATATTTAAGTTTTTCCTTTGTTGGAGAGAATAAAAAGAAAATTTTCACCTTTTACACCAAAAAGTCTTCAAAATCTTTCATTTTGAAGTTTATCAAAGATGATATTAATAAACCATTACACAATGGACCCAAATTAAATTTTTATATTCAAAACTATTTCAACGTCTCAATATGGTAGCCCTAGAAACCAACAGTGATATCTATATCATATTTTAGGATTTCAGCTCTATTACTTCACCCAACACCAAATATAGTAACATTTTAGTACTTTTTGTATAATTTTAATAGTCATTAGCAAGTCCCTTCCATATCTCAATACTTGACACCGACAGTATCCGAAATATAAAATTTGACGGTTTTAGCTCTATCCCTTCACCCAATACCAAAATAAGTACCATTTAGTACTTTTCAAACAATTTTAGTACAAATATCCAAAACCACCACCATATTTCAATTCCAGATTGCAGCAGAGACCTTAATATCAAATTTGTGGATTCAAACCTTACCCCTTCACCCAATACCCAAATTAGTACTATTAAGTATTTTTCGTACAAATATAGGACACATTTCCAAATCCGCAAAATCTCAACAGATACCATCATTAATCCACATATGAAATTTTAGAATTGTACCTATCACCCACTACCAAATACAGTACCACTTTTCTTATAATTATAGTAAAAATTCCCTTCATATGTCCAGGCTCCACATGAGCATCAACCCTTATACCAAATTTCAGATTTCAAACACACAGTACAAAAAATTGTATTAAATATAGTACTATTATGTATTTTTCGTGCACTTATGGTACACATTTCCAAAACCACCACCAAATTTTAATTCGAGATACCAACAGAGGCCTTAGTGTCAAATTTGAGGATTCCAGCCTTAACTCTTCACCCAATAACAAACTTAGTATCATTTACTACTTTCCTTACAAAAATATAAGCACAGACGAACAGAAAAATCGCACAGAAATTAAGTCATTATTTGACATTGAGAATCTTGAATTGGCGAATTTTGCCGGAGACACAGTTCAAAAAAAGTCATCCGTGTGAATATGTTCGACAAAAGTGGGGGAGAAATGTGAAATTCCCTCTGCGAAAACTATTGGCCAGAGATTATGGAAACGGGAAACTAGTAACAGCAGCATATACTACAAAGTATATATATTCTGGATCAGCGTAAAATTCTAAGACGATCTGGCGATGTCCGCCTATCTGTATGTTGTAGTCACGCTATCGTTCGAACGAATTGACATAGAAGGCTAAAATTTTGCATACGTGCATAGTTTACCAGTAGGCAGTTCGTAAATGGAACCACTCTAATGTATTGTCCCGATATGGTGACATACATTTGCTTCTTACTCCTAGTACCATCTAGCGAATCATAACAACAATGAAATGCCCCCATCTTTTTATATTTTACGTCTTTGGTTTGACTTTCATACTGTTCAATTTAGAGGCACACCCTGTTTCCAGGGCACTGGATATCACAGACCGCAATCATTGGATGCTTAAATATACTACTGAACACTAGATGTCAGTGCACTATAACATTTAATAATATTGACTAGAGAGGTGTATTAGCTGTATCTTCATCTTCACAATGAAGGCAAAACAATTTATATCGGAAAATTCTCATATTAAATGAAATTCTATAATAAAGTGATTGTGATATGTTAAAAAGTGATAAATATTTAAATGTTAAAATTCGATTTTTTGGATTTAACTCCTTGCTGTCGAATTTTTAATATAAGTGTGTAGAGGTCATTGCATTGCGTTAATATACATACCAGTATTAATAAAGATGTTTGGCTGATGTTTCAATTTACTGTAACGCAATTTATTGACCAGTTGCCAAACGGCAATTACTCTCTTAATACAATTATAATATTTTTGATCGCTAATTCAATCAATTGTTGTCAAAACAGAATCAATTCATTGTAGTATATATTACTAATGTTGCAATAAAATTATCCCTAGAATTTAGAAAAAAAAAAAAAAAAAATACTGCCATAACATCATTCGTAATGAATATTTTTAGAATTTCAAATACTTAACCAATCGCATTGGACTGACTTAGCGTATATAGCTTTGCATATAAGCGTTAAGGCATTGATAATTCTCAAATAGGACTGTTATCAATCTAGAAGTCAAATTCATAATTGTTCTCAAATTATTCCATGTACTTTGCTGCAAGTTTTTCCTAGAAAATCCATGAGTCATGACTAGACTTGAGATAAGGAGAAATAACAGGAATTTATTTTTTTTATAGAAATTCTTATTTTTTCTTTCAA